TGCTCTTGGAGGATTGACAATCACGTTTGTAGTGGCCTTTCTTTCCACATTCGTAACAAGTGACGTCAGCGTTTGATTGGCGTACGTTTCGCCTTCGTTTATCGACGTCCATCGCGTCAGGATCTCGGTGGTTTCCTCGGAAATGAATGAACTTTCGTTCATACCGGGATTCCTTGCCTTCTAGGATATGTTTGGTAGCGATTGCGGTTCTTGCTTCTCCCGCGCACTGGATCCACTCGATTACCGTGGTAGGGGCGCGTCCAGAATTCAAGATCCAATCTCGATATTCCTTATTAAGGCCTTTTCCAAAGAAGATCCCCGCTTCACGTGATTCTTCTTTCAACTGGGCTTTGTTAACAAGTCCGGTAAATTCAGCAATATACGCCTCGAGTTCTCGTTTTCCTTGTGCGATGTCGGAGAGCCGCAAGATTGCGAGGGCGGTCTGATCACCAGATTCGAAGGTAGCTTTGAGACGCTCAACGAACCGCTGGAAGGTGTCGGTGTACCAGATGGTTCCGTCGAGAAGCTTGTTTTCGTTCTGATAATTTTCTGCGAAAGTAACCGCGGCTCCTTTTGTCATGTACGTGAGCGCAAAAGAGATCTTGAGAGACTCCGTGGTGTATACGTGCTTGTTTAGGTTCAAATAACCTTCGACCTGCGTAAGCCAAGTTTGAAGCCCGTTGTGGCTTCCATCGTATTCTCCGGGACGCCCGACATTAAACTCCCTACCTCCGTTGGGTGGGCGGACATCATACGAGTCATCGCCGGCATCGGCTGGGGCCTTACCCTTACTGGACCCACCAATGGGGCCCTCTGGGGGAATTACCTTTCCGAAATTTCTGGCGTACCATGCTCGTAGAGCCGAGTCCGTAGGCGTACCTGTTGGGAAGGGATCACTCGACTGTCCAGTACCGGCAACCTTGTGCCAGTCCTCGGCCAAAGAGTGCATCTGTCTTTCCAACCTTTCCCTCAGCTCCTCTTCGGAGTATACCTTCGGTGGCATCTCAGGGGCTGATTCTCCGTGACCGATCGTCATGGACATTTCCGGTTGCGCTTCTTCTTTGAGGACTGATCCGAGAGAAGTATCAGACTTCCGATCGTCTTCTTCTTCTGAACTAAGCGCAATCTCCGATTCCCTAAAACGGGACAGATAAGACAACCTAGGATTACTTGCTGTGCCCGACGGCCCAAGTCTTCCTAGCGGGATTGGTGGTAAGGGCGGGTTCCTACCGAGTCCTTTTGGTAAACGCGGAGGGACTGGTGGTCTCGACCTTTCGGGATTTGACACTTTGACGGATAGTGACAACGACGGCTGAGGGAGGATTTATTTTCCGAAGAAAACCTGTCAGCAGAGAGGGGTTTGTGCGCGAGTGGCTTTACACGTAGGGAGCAACGAGCGCGTAGTGAGGAGACTCTAGGGAGGCGATCTATTAAAACCTAATGGTTGCCTGTAGAGCGGTGAATTTGATTTAGAGTGGCGGGATGCTTCTCAATTTTGTTATCGATTTGTTAGGTCGAGTTGAGAAGTAGGGTCGGGAGGAAGGCAAGTTAGTCTTTACGCGTAGGGAGACCAACGAGCCTTGTTTGACTGGTTTGTTGGTTTGTTGAAGTTCAGTAACCAGGGACGAGTAGACTTTCGCGAAGAGGTCGACGAGTCCCGAAAGCTGCGCGGAGTTTTTCGATTTTGTTATGCCCGAGCGCGGTGACTTCTTCAAATGGAATAGGCACGAAGCGCGCGAGGTGGGAGACTACGGGCCGAACTTGTCGTAACCCCTATGGCAGAGTTATCGCAATAATCCGACAGAGGTTCTGTCTGCTGGCGAGTCCCTAAGGTTGTTCGCGCGGAGAGAGAACGAGGATTGGAGCGAAGTAATTAGCTCTGTTGCAAGCTATCGAAAAACTGAGGATACAGGATAGAGTACGTCGGACTAAATACCCCTGAGTACGAGTACCCTACCAGTCGCGACAGACGCGTCGTGACGCGTATCCGCAGTAATCAACAAAGTAATCACTGAAATAAATAAGAGTCATCCGGAGTCAAAGATGTGGGTAGTCAAGGGGACGAAGGCTATACCGGCTGCGCAATCAATGCACAGCGAAGAGCCAGACTCCGGAACTATAGTACAACAATCAGGCAACATAAACGAGTCAAGGAAAAGGAAACGGGACATCTGCGCAATCTAAGAGCGGCGAACGTCACGGACGGATCACAAGTGATGAGTCTCGACAGGTATTGGAAATACCTGGACAGCGGGTGATCCGAGTTCTCCCTTCAGCATCCGTACTCCTAGGTACACGACCACGGCGAGAGACGCGACCAGGCACGTGACGCACGTGACTGCGAGAAGTCGAAAAAGGAAAGAGGAGGAACGAAAGCGTAACAGGGTATTTGAATGACCCTTCTGCACACTTGGCACTCTCACTAGAAATGTCAAGCTTGGTTTGACATATAATCAAAACTACTAGCTTACACTGTGCAATGAATGCTGGGAGATGAGCCAATCATGATTGTGTAAAAGCCTGCTTCATCTTCAAGCAACATTCATACAGATGGTATGTTGAATGTGGTGAGTATTTGGGTGTGGTCTGCCCCATGTGGCAGTGAATTCATGATGCCTTGAAGTGTTCCTGCAACCTGCCTTGCCTCATTCTCTGATTTACACTGGATTGCGACTGGCAATGATGATGTTGCATGACCACATGGGATCAATGGACTAGTGTCAATGCTTAAGTTTCAACAATACACTCACCTGGGAATGCATAACCCACCAATCATCTGAACTGTACACATGCACACTGCTGTGAGGGCCCCCAATAATGGCCCAATAGTGTTCAATGGTGGCCATGGGATTTGTAAATGACCACTCATCTGGGCTTGTGCTTTTATAGTGACTTGGAAATGAGGGGGGGTGTTCATGGAGCTTTGCCAGATATGGATCCATAGAAAGCAATCCACTTCCTGTAAAAGCCTGTAGTTAATACTATGTACTCGAGGCTAACAATATGTGCATCTGTCTACCAGTTTTGGCATTGAGGACTTGAGTGCATTTTTCAGAAAAATTCATGCTACACAGTTGCACATGTGGCAAGTCAAAACATTGGCAATCACTTTAGTATGACCAATCACAGCAGGAAAAGGCCTGTGAATCATAGGGCATGTGTGAGACATAGTCAGAACCTTGGGCAGTAAGATCTTAAGACCTGGCAGTGGTACAACCAGTACAATGTATGCACCAAGCACTAGACTGGTTGTCAAAATGTGAGCAAAAAAGATCATGATCATTGTACAGTTGTTAATGTGAATACCTTTGAACAAAATGTAATGTAGTGGTTTCTCTCCTACAGGTAGTCAATCATTAATCAAGATTTGGCTCCGAAGTAATTGTGTCGAGTTTTGATCCTACATGCAACTTACAGCTTTCACATCACATTTTTTTCTGGTTTTGTGTGCATATCACCCGCTGTTAATCACTGACTTGTAAACACAATTCTAATTCATTGTATACTAGCATGATTGAGGACCACACAAACACACACAGGCTTATTCTAAGATATTCCAAATTCAGTGATCAAGAGCTATGAGGTGATGACAACTTGGCATGGCTGCAACTAGTGACCTAGGTGGCCAGTACTGCCAAAACAAATGAATGAAACATACTACATTGTTGGACAACTATGTACCTGGATTCTGTCAGATCTCTCAGTGATGCAAGATGATGTTCACTGTATCTGCTTCCATGGCTGTGGTGAGATCTAATAGCAATTGGGGTGACCAGCACTGTAATGGCGATGGTGAGGATGTTGTGCACAGTCTGCCAGTGCTCCTGGGGGACCTGCACCACCTGGATGATGTTGAAGAACCACACAACACTAATGTATGTGCTCCCACTCTTATGTCCATATGCCACTCAGCTCTGATCCCCTGAATTAGCTTGTGACCATAATCAGCATAATCCATAATGCTAGCTGCTTCCTGACCAAAAGTAGGTATGGAAATGACTATTAGAGATTTGGACAGTGATTGAAAATCTGAGAACTCACTCCAAATTTATCTTTGTCTCCCTCCTCCATGTGCTTACTTGTTCCATGGCATGCCCTCATATTCACCACACTAAGGAAGCCAGACTGGAAGCCACTCGAGAAAGTCGCTGGCAGTACTATGCAAGGTGAGGACTCTTGAGTCCACAATGCTGTTCTACTCTTGTTGACAGATCAGTGTCCAGACATAGAGAGAGAATCTGTGCAAACCATAGTGTAGGATCCAAGTCAGTGTCTGCTGATGCCACTTCTAGTGTCGACAATAGTGATCTGTAAGTTGTGATTTATTAGAGGTGATACTTAGTTTCCCATTCATGTTGGCACCAATACAGTGAAGTTCTCATGTTAAGTACCAGTCTTGCTATGGTCAAAGATGCCAAGGATGAGCTGGTTGCATATGTACTGGCACCACAGTCATTCATTGAAGGCATTCTTGGGAAATATATTGATTCCATGCCAGATGACTCAGATGATGAACTTGCCACAAAGTCATCGACAGGCAACCTTAGCATCATAGAGGATGCTATTGCTACAGTCAAGAAAATTCACAGTAAGGTGCTCAAAGGCCAAGTGGCCATCTACAAGATGTGTGGTATCTGTCCAGAATGACATGCAAGTGAGCAGGTGTGCAGTGGGATCAGGGAACTAACTATTCTACTTGAGGATATTCTGTGCTTGGCAATGGAGGGGACCTTGACTTCGGCAGAAGCACATTTCCTGGGTGAACTTGCATATCAGAAGTACCAATAGCCATGATGCAATGTATAGACCATTTCCAAAATGCCATACATATTTTCTATCTAGTGTACTCGACTGCAGATTGTTACGAGATATCATGCTGCTCAACTCCGAGCTCTTTTGGGATTGCAGCCATTCATTCAGGTGGCTGCTGGCAGTGCTTGCTTTGTCCCAGTCCTTTGAAGATAACTAAGTAGGTTACACATGTATAGTAAAATGAATACTTACTGGGGGTTGCCATCATCAATGGACTGGGATTTGATGAGCTGCTCCATTACCCAACAAACATCTGCCACAGCTGCATTCCATAAACCATACTGTGCTGCCCTAGCTTTGATTTTGGATCCCCACCAGTGAAGTGCAGTGATATCACTGAGGAAACCATTCAAGCCAGGTTTGTTCAGTTCAGTCCACCCACCAGCCAGCATATGTGGTGCAGGAACAAACTCAGCAGTCTTGGGCATTGATCCCTTCCTCCAGGTGGGTTGCAATTCACACCACCAAGTCCAGAAGTCATTGGAAAATTTGTCAATATCAAGGATTGGGGGACATCCAGTACATGTGTGTGTGATCCACCAATGAATCACTTCAGGGTGATACTTGCTGCTTAAGGTATGTGCCACTCCTTTCCTATTTGAAAAATTTGATGATCCTTCGAGATGGAAGTAAACTTTGAGGAGGTTATGAAATTCTTCACCAAGATCAGGTAATTGAACATAGCTGAATGACATATGGAACCATTCAGGGCAAGAGTCTCGGGGCAGGTAGTTACTAAAGTTGATTAAAAAATAGATGGTTCAGCATGCTCACCTAAAGATAAAATTGGCGAAGCCTTGGACTCTTCTTCTTGATTGGTGGTAGAATTCAGCACCTCAGAAGAATGCTGCGGTGTTCTGGAAATCTGGGTATGCTCATTAGCATTGGCAGCACCGTTGGCTCATGCATTGGCATTTCTGGGGATTAGATCTTGGGGTGAGAGCTGGTGAGCATGCTGGTGAGGCATAGACAGATGCTCCTGTGCATCTTCATCATGAGGAGTGACAAGGGGTTTGGGTTGGCATTCCTGTCCATGGTCATTGGGGGGTGAAATGAGGTGATGTTCTTTTGGTAATGCCTTGGACCCTTCCTCAACAGAGTTCAATACAATGAGAGAACATTGGGGTATTCTGGAACTCTGGATATCCCCATCTGGATCAGCAGCACTGTCAACTTGCATGCTGGTATCACCAGTGGAGATAGTGGAATGTTCCTGGCTGCATGGTGGTGAGACTGGGTTTGGGGGTGAGGGCTGCTGGCATGGTGTGGACAGAGCATCTTCATCATGATGAGTGAGGGGACTTGGTTGGCATTCCTGTCTATGTTCATCAGGGGATAAAGTATGCTGACATTGTTGCATGCTGTCAGGTCCATCTGCTGTGTAAGATAGTGAATATGGAGTGTGTGTTTAATTTTACCATTGTCTTGGGGGTCTGCAGGAGTGCCAGATCTTCAGGACCTCACCCAGCAGGGAATGGTGGTGGTTCATGGAACTGTGTGCCTCAAATTCAGGCCAATGAACACATAATCTACCTTTTTGGTGGAAAATGGTAAAGGGGCACATTGCAAGCAGTGGAAGCCATTGTTGTGGTCCATACTGTCATCATCTTCTCTGCTGCCACTGCTGTCATTGTTACCAGATGATTCTGTAGAACTATTGGGGGGCTTCTTATTCAGTGTTGCCTTTTTGGGATTGTCTTCACCTTTGCTGATGTCTGAAGAATGGTTGGAAGAATCCATGGATTCACGTGTGTGCCCTCTAGACTTGCACCCACTGATCAGTGTTGCCTTTGTTGCTGCTTTGGGAGCATCTTTGACTTTGTCAGCACCTTCAGGGTTGTCATCAGGGAGTAGGGAAATCAACCTGTCAAATTCTGTGGGAAGTTTGCTTGCATCACATTCTTCTTGTGCTAGAGAGTGAGATGGTTGATGAAGTCAACTCTGGGCTGTGACATGTGTACAACTTACTGTAGCAAGTATCCAGATACTCATGGAAAAAATGAGTGACAGCTCAATATTTTGCTTTGTTGTAAGCCTGCCAATTGTGGGGCACTGAACTTTTGTCACCTCCTTCATGCATTCTGTATGGGTTGACTGAAAGTAACAGCGACAGTAATAAAAAAACTTATGATAAAACAGTGATGTTCCCATCCTTTTGAGGCTCTGGGCCACCAACAATGAGTGTGACATGCATGCCAAGGATTGCATGCATTCCACTAAGGAGTGGACCAGCAAATGATGGTAGCCTATTGATTGCACTGTAAAAGAAAATTCAGTTATCATAAGAGATCAAGAATCAAGAAATAAATGACATATGACTGTTGTGATACAGGATTGGTGGCAGATGGGTTACTGAGGTGCCATTCAACCTGTGAATGTGAAGTCCAAGTTTTTGACTTCAGCTTTGGTTAAGAGGTTCACATGATGTGAACTATCACATGCATCCACCTGAGGTATGCAACCATTGTCACCCAGTTACTGTGATCATCGAATGTCTGGCTCATCTGCAGGATCAACCTGCTCATTGTGCTTGCATGGCCTTACAATCAATCCTCTAGACCTGTAGAACCCCCTGCCTCCCCCCAGGACTCACAGGAAAGCTGCAGTATGGACAACAGAGGAGGAAGGCACATTACTGGATTTCTTGGCCTCTCATCTTTCACAGGCTGGCAATGGGAACTTTAAGAAGGCTATGTGGAATGCCACAGCAGCCCATATGGCTCATAATTATCCACCAGGTCCAGATAACAGTGATAAGACAGCTGAATCGTGTGAGTGGAAGTTCAATGCAGTAAGTCATTGTATCATTCTTTTTTTTGCCTTGCTAACAATTATCCAGCTTAAAAAATCCTACTATGCCATCACTGATCTTAAATTGGTGGCCTCTGGCTTTGCTTACAATGATGAGCATGGTGCAATGGTCTCACTGGACAATGCCAATCTTTGGGATTGGTATGTAAAGGTAATGTAGTTTTTTTCTTGTCAGATCATCCACTAACATCTAGTCAGGCACACAAAGACACAAAGCTGTTTTGCAATTCTGGGTTCCCCCACTTTGCCAGCATAGAGCTCCTTCTCCCCTCACATGGCTGAGGTTGGTTTATCTACTGGCCACACACCACTACTGCACCTTCTACAACCACAACCTCTGCCTTTGATACTCCTGCCTCTACTGCACCCCCTGCTGCTTTGACTATTCCTACCCCCCCTCCCTCCCTCTCCCTCCTCAACATGATGCATGCTCTCAATGCTCACCATCATGAGGACACACAGTCCATGGATCCAAACTTCATCCCCCCTTCCACACCATCAAGTTTTTTGTTGCATGTGTCAGCCAGGTCATCGTTGTCATCAGCCATCACCAGCATCAGTCGCAGAAAAAGGAAAGCCAAGTCCATTGTGATGTCCAAAGGTGGATTGAAGTGCTCTTGGCCCCCATCAGCCAAAGCACATGCTGAAGAAGATTGCAGTTCATTCATTGCCACCATCACCTCCAGGCTTGATAACTTCACACACATAATCACTGCCCCATTTCCCCCACCACCCATTACCAATCCCCTCATTGACGCTGCCATAGACTACATCAATAACATGCCACAGCTCTTGACAGATGATCGGATTGACATCAGCAACTACTTCCTCAGCACATCTCTGGATGAAGTGAATATTTTCCTCAAGCATCAGGAGCTGGTGAAGCAGATTTGGGTGCAGTGTCAGCTGATGAAGTACTGGGATGGGCAGAGATAGGTGTTTGTTTTTTTCTTTTTTTTTTTACAATATACAAATGTACCCCCCCCTTTATACAAATATGTACATAATAAAATGTACATGACTATGACTAGCTTCCTTTTGACAATGCAAGTTATTTTTCTACATGAGTGTGAAACAATTGTAAGAACATATATTTGTACACCATGAAATCTGAATGTTCAGGCTCAGAGAAGGCCCCTAATTGTAAGCTGGTGCTGATAGTCAATCCACATCTCCTCTGCAATGTTGTCATGCCTATTATCAGCCCTTCTCCTCTCTGCAGCATCTGCTGGTCCATCACCAAGGCTTCCAATACCATCACCCTCTCCTATGTCCATGGCAAGTTCAGGGTCAAAGAACTCTTCTGGATCATAGTACCATATGAAATTGTGGAGGGTACAGAGAGCAGCAAGTACTTGAGTTTGGGTGTGGATGCTATATTCAGGGGGAATTTGAAGAATCCTCCATCTGCATTTTATAACACCAAATATCCAATCAATGGCATTTCTAAGTCCAGCATGGTGAAGGTTGAATAACTCCTCTTGGTTTTGAGGTCTATAAAATAGAAGTTACAGGTACACTGAGCAGGATGGAATAGCAACTTACCTTAGTCCAGCCTGGCACCATTCTTTCAGATGGTAATGAACACCTTGATAGGGAACCAGAAGTGCATCACAGGTCCCAAACCCTGCATCTGCAAGAAGGTACTTCCCAGGTGGCATGTGCAAGTCATTCCTGTGTGCATCATGCCACATGGTTGCATCTGCAGTTGACCCATCAAAGCCAGTGAGGGCATATGTGAAGAAGTCAAAATCACAGATGAAGAGACAGTTTTGAGATAGGTAGCCCTTCCAGTTCCTCATGTAAGGCTGGTTCTCAGCAGCAGTGAATGCTTGAATATGAGTGCCATCAACTGCACCAATACAATCCTGGAAAAATCAGAAGCATGGGTCACTAGTAATCATAGTTAATATGGGAGTGTTGTTGGTGGGGAATTGCACTTGGGATGCATAGAATTGTCCCCCAGAAAAGAAAGCCAACATTGCTTTGAAATATCTAAAAAATTGTGAGAAAAATATCAAACAGTCCAACAAACTCCCTACCTAGTGATGGTCCCTGGTGAGTGTTGGAACCTCTCAGCAACATGCCAGGATGACAACCCAGTAACAAAGGTGTAGAGGAATATCCCAAGTTTTCCTCCACAGAAATTCCATTGCAAGAAGGCACAAAACCATGATGGGTGAGCACCTGCATCAGGTGATCAAAAACCCCATGGCTGACACCAAGGCAAGTCCATATCCTGTCTGGATGACCATTCAGGATCTCTAGCATCCACCCCTCACCAGTCAGGATTGAGGTATGGTAGGGGATTGGTTCTGAGTCAGAATGAAAAAGGAGGTCATGGAGGCATAGCACCTGGATCATCACTGCTACTACAAGTGCAGCAAGATGGTGACAATGATGGTGCTGGAGCTGCTGTGCTTCAAGATCCATAGCAGAGTTGGTTGATCTGTTATCACAATGTTATCTATTGAACTATAAGTTGTGTTGTTGTCTTATATAATCATCACATGACTACATTACTGAAGCAGAAGCCCAAAACTTGGACTTGACATTCATGTGGGCATGCACAGCTTATATAATCATCACATGACTACATTGCTGAAGTCAAAGTCAAAAACTTTGACTTTGACTTTGGAGGGTGAACAGCACCTGAGGGCTTCAGTCCATTCTGCAATGGCTGTTTGAGCCTCATCTCTGGCAAGTTGAGTGTAATGGGTTTGGGATTTGGCCATTGGTTGCTAGAAAATGTTCTCAAGTGACTTGTTCTTGGAAGGTTACCATTGCCTTCCCCTTTATGCCCTGAGCATTGCATCTCTCCTGAAAACTGGGCCTGACAATGGTGTCAAAATGGTCCTTGGACCACCACTGGTGGGCTTGCAAAGCCTTTGGCTTTTTCTTGCCTATGCCAGATAGCTGTACAAGAAGGCAGGTCCACATGTTGTTCTCTGATGCCATGACATTTCCTCCAACCTTCTGATTGGCTCTGATGCAGCTATTCGAGCCATGATTTGATCACCTAGACAGGAAAAGGAGTGAGAACATGGACTTCCAGAGTGTAATTGATTACCTTGTGCATAGCAGTAACCTTGCATTGTTTCTGCTCCATTTCCACCTTCAAAAGGTTCTCTATTGAGTTCAGCTGTTCAGAAGCTGGAGCAGTGGGATTTTCAGACACCTTGAGCCTCCATGGAAATTTGGAGAAGTATGCATTAATGACTGAGTCAAGGTACTGCTGTGCACAGGAGGCACCTGCCATAGACACAGTTTGATAACCAGTGATGTGACTGGACAGAAAATCCAGGCATGGACCTTTCACCCAATGGTGCATCAGTTTCTCAACATAGGCATCAGGGTTGTCATGAGCATTGGTAGGCTGGGTTGTGGGATGTAGGTCAGGTGTGGGGTCAAGTACAGTGTTGACATGGTCACTAGATCCATAATTAGTGGATTGCAGCAGGAAAAAAATGGATACAGATGTCATGAGGTCACTGATATTCAGTATTGTTTTGAATGGTGGTAAGAAGGCAGTGGGGAAGGCACAATATATAGGAATACCACACTCTCACCAGATTGGAAAGTGATGAGCCATGATTGGGTGTCAGTCATGTGACACATCATGTGATCAGGAATTGAATAATGTCATGGGAACATTCAGTCATGTGCTACATCACATAATCAAGAATTGGTGGGGGAACAAAATATATTCCATGGGAACATCCCAATCTGGATTTTTTTTTCAAACACCAATGGAGGTTGTTGCTCAGGGGCATTTTCCACATTGGGAAGTGGTAGTTGCCATTGGTTGTGTAACTCAAATGGTGGTAATTACCATGGTCATTTGGTCAAAATCAGCTGATACAGCTGGACATACTTAGCCCTCAAGAATGTGTCACAACATGCATACAACTGTGTCTGTGAAGCAGCCCATGCAGCCTTTGCTGGCACCCCAGGTGTAGACTCTATCCTTAGTTTCTATAATGTCAAAAAAGTCATCACCACCCACACTGGGGTTGTCTCCATTGAGCACAACATGTGCCACAAGTCCTGCATTGCCTATACTGGACCTTTTTCTCATCTTGAGGCCTGCCCAATATGTTGTACTTCTCAGTGGAAGGAGGAACAACTTCAAGGAACACATGGGAGATCCAAGGTTGCTATGCAGACATTCACAACAATCCCAATTGGCCCCCAACTACAAGCTCTTTACTGGCACAGGGACAGTGCCATTGATATGGAATACCTCCCTCAGCATACAGTCGAGGTCCTTCAGCAACTACATGAGACTGGTCACATCCTGCCAATCAATGACATTGCTATGGGTTGGGACTACCTCACAGCTGTCCTCGATGGTGACATCAAATGCAATGACATCATTCTCATGCTCTCACTCAACAGCAAGGAGTCAGATTGTTGGATGCATATATGGATCACTGTAAATTTGCCACTGGACAAACAATATCACAAACTCCACATCTGCCCTGGGGGCTTTATTCCCAGCCCTAACAAACCCAAGAATCTAGACTCTTTCCTCTTTCCTGGCATCCACCATCTTGCAGCCCTTCAGGCCAAAGGACTCCCTATCTGGAACACCCATCACAATGTGCACTATTCCTTGGATGTTTATCTCCTTTTCACCACTGCAGATGGGCCTGGATTGGTCTACTGGAATGGAATGGTTGGTCACAGTGGCAAGAATGACTGTCAAATGTATTGCAGTGCCATCAGCAGACACAAAACCAATGGCAAACACTGCTACCCAGCATTACTCAGACCCCACAACCATTGTGTTCATGGCAGTGACCATGCTGACATTGACATCTTCAATCTTCCACTAGGTGGATGTGCTGAGTATGCTGACAATCTCAGAACTATCATCACTGTTCAGAATCCTTCTCAATGGGACAAGAAGAAAACTGACACCAGCCTCACCAAACCACCTCTTATTCTTGCCCTCCAGCCAACTTGTTCTCTTGGTGTACCTCTGTGCATGATGACTGATATCATGCATCTTGCCAGAAATATCAGTGACCTTCTCATTTCCCTCTGGCATGGTACCATTGATCATGTAGCAGACAACAATCCAGGGACATGGCCATGGGCTGTTTTAGCTGATGAAGAAGTTTGGCATAACCATGGAGCAGCTGTTGAGCATGCAGGTCATCATCTCCCCAGCTCTTATGATCACAAGCCTCATAACATCACTGAAAAAATCAATACACAATACAAGACCTGGGAGTTCCAGCTGTATATATTTTCCCTCACTCCAATTCTCCTCTACAACCTCCTGCCCAGACTGTATTGGGTGAATTACTGCAAATTGGTTTGCAGACTTCAGATCATGTGCCAACACTCATTGACAGAAGAACAACTCCTCAACATGCATGCACTCCCCTGCAGCTGGGAGCATGAGTTCAAATCCATCTATTACCAGCTTTGCGAGTGCTTGTATTCATTTTGTGCACCCTTGCATACACCAAGTCATCCATCTTGTACCAGAGGCAATTCATAAAGGTCCCCCTATCTCTTATGTGCAATGGCCCATGGAGCAGACCATTGGGAATCTCAGTGAACAGATTCAACAGCCCTCCAAGCCATATGCAAATCTCTCTTGTGAGGGCATCTGCTGATGTCAAGTTAACTCACTCATCTCCATCATACCCAAGCTCAATGACTCAGTCAATGGACTACCTTACAGCTCCCTTGATCTTCATGACAGCTTCGCTCTGCTTCATAAACATTCCAAGACCTCAATCCTTCCCTGTGGTGATGAAGGAGCTGCCATCACACTATTTCTTGGGCCCAGACAACCTTTGCCATGTATCAAGAAGTGGGCCTGACTTCATCTTCCAAATGGCCAGGTTGCATGCTCAGCTTGGAGAGAGAGTCTTCAACCTCCAGAGCAACTTTGTGTCTCACACAATATAAAGGTAAGTACATCATCCTACCGAAGCTGATCACAATGCTGACTAGCTCTTCATGTAGTGTCTTTGCAATGGTATCACCTGCTGTGCCAAAGTCCAATATTTTACTAGGCTGCCAATTCAAGCTGCAGATGGCAACTGGACTTTCACTGACATTGCGATCATTTGCTTGTATTCTGTGCCTGACAAAGACTTGCTGAAACTCTTGAATCATGTTCTTTTAGCCTCCCAACTGCTCAACACTATATCAGTAGTTCATGTTCAAACAAATCATCAGCATCATTGCAATGATCCCACAGAAAATGGTCTTGCCCTTGGGTGCTGAAGAGCTGGTGTATTGTATGATGGAAAGGCCTGGATTTGATGTATCTGACTGGGGGGTTCCATATAGTGTGTATGTCGAAAGAGATGACAAAGATGATGCACATGAGGATGTTGAGTAGTGGGTATAGCACAATCTTGAATTATATTGTTTCACAATATGCATGTCTGTCATTTGAACTCAACCTTTTCATGATACATACAGATATTGAGAGTATTGACAGTGTGAACATACAAGTACAACAAAACAAATTGTAGGTATCATAAGGCTCAGGCCAGCCTACAGTGCTTCCCCTCTCTCTCAAGCCTATCCTCATACCTTTCCATTGCTTCCCTCCTATGCATGATTTCGATGGGGAGAATGGAGGGATCAAATGAACAAACATAGTACTTCCAAGGTCGGGATGGTGTGCCCTCCTCAGCCTGGGGATTTCCATTGTCCCAGGTGAGGACAGTGCAGGGCAACAGAGCTACAGTAGCAGACTGTCTGCCTCAATCATTAGATTTGACTAAATTTTGAATAATCAACTTACAAACTTGTGTCACAATCAGAATCCTCCAACCTGACATGACACTTGCTGGATTCTTCGAGCTTGAGAGTAATGGCCTGGCTGGCCTCGTGCTTGGGTTCTTCGAGCTTCGAAGCAGTAAGGTCCTGGCTGGCCCCCTCCAACTTCATGGGATCCTTGATGTTCTCGAGTGACACAAGTTGTGCATAGGGTTCCTTGACACGAGGATGGTTGTATTTGTGGAATTCAGGGTGTTTGATGTGCAACATGATTCTCCAATGTGTTCAATGAGATTAGCAAAGTCAAAAAGCAGATTGGGAAGAAAACTCTACTTTAGTTCCAGGAGAAGGCATGTCCAATGAAAAGGTATATGCATCCCAGTCAGAAGAAAGACCTTCAACAACAACAACAACAACAACATTACCAACCATTGTAATAGTCAGAGTGGGAGCAAATGTCAAATTAGTCAGTGGTGACATTTCATTATGTTTAAGGTTACAAGGCACTCAGTAGCAGTTAATAAGGTATGAGAAAATAACCTTAGCCAAATGTTCCAAGTCATCATCCTCCCCTGTCTCTATATTACCATGTGCTCCCTCAATGCCAGCGACTCACACTTCAGCTTCAACAACAGCTTGTTGTTCTCACCTCAGTCTGGTGACCCATTCTCAGCCCCAACAGGTGACTGCATCAACGATAATTTGATATTCTCTTCTTTGCAGCATAACAGTCCTGGTGTCCTACCCCCTCAACAAAAGCTGTTTACACCATATTCACCCCAGAGTCCAATTAATCAAGTGAATGTAAGTATGGTGAATTAAAACTAGGTGCTTACCATGTTTTAGGGTGCATATATGCAGCAGGAGTTGCACATCACATTTTTACAAGATTGTTGCAATGTGCTGGAATGGCATTTGGTCAAGGTAACCATGGAATGTGACACAATCAAGTAAGATATTAGTTTATAGACTGTCTATTGCTAATCATTACACAGGAACCTCTTCGACAAACTCACAAATGTAGTTAATTTGGGAACATGCAATCTGAGTCTACTCAGGAGTAACTCACCTTTACAGCTTCTGATGACCACAGGTGAGAACCCCCCACTGCATGACACACACCCAAAGGTGCAGTGCTGGACAAGAAAAGATTATGAAGACTGGTTGGACTCCCCAGAGGCTGGAGGGAGCAACCATGGACTATATGCATATCTCGAGGACAAAAATGGTGATGTTCCATTGTCAGAAATGCTAACCAAGATTCAAAGAGCCCTATGTGCAGGGTGGATCGAACTTACCCAGCACAAAATAGCACCAGATACCTGGGGTAGAGCAAGCATGACTGCACTCCAATTCATACAGGCATATATGGAGAAGGACTTCCCCCTGTTCAAGCTTGCAGAAAGTGGCTGGAAACTCAAGCATCTGTGTATGAAGACATACTTGGCCTGGAGAACAAAATGTCTGGATGAGAATGGTAATTTGAAGAGGACTACACTGTGATGCAATCAAAGGAGAGACTTTTGATGATGACAAAGACCTCAAAAGCCTCAATCCCAGCAGTAAAAAACACAAGGGGCCTGCAGATGCTTCATTAAGGCCATTTAACAGGAAACAAAAATGTGAGTAATCCTATCTGATACTTTGTACTGATATGTGAAGCCACAGCAGCCTTGCAGTCCTGGGACCCATCTGAATCACTAAAGCTCATGGCACCAGACTCATCCTCGACATCTGTTGATTCAGCAGCTCATGTAGAGTCACCAATACAAGGTTAGCATCATACTCCTCTATGGCACCAACTTACACCTGTATAGAACCACCAGTGTCTCCTGTGGAGACCACTGCAGCACAATTGACCCCCCAGCACATGGGCACAGCCTTGGCCAACTAAGGAAAACAATCCAAATGTCAACAATGCCAACATCCTGACCACCACTGACCATCCTGTCATATATAATCCCATGTAACCTCATGCACTCTTCAGGATCACATTTACTAATTCTCATGTCAGTTTTGCAAGAGTTTGCGTTTGCTTGCAATGGCTTCAGGAAAAGTCAATGTATTACCTGTCCCTCCCATTACAGAAAGTCAGCAAGTCAGCAAACAAGGCCCCTCCCACAGTACACTTTCCAAAGACCAGGATTCGACAAGTGCCTTAGCCGATGCATCCAATGAATGCATAACTGGCATGAGTGACTCAACAACCAAAGCAAAGAAGCCTCTGCAGCCCTCAGGCATGAAGAATGGACGATAGTGAATGTGGAAGTGAATTCTTTGTGCATGCTAACACACTCAACAGGAACCTCTGTATGCTATGATGGTTGAAGAATATCAACCCCAATGGACAGAAAGAAGATTTCCATGTGTACTGGGACAAGATGTTATCTCCAGCTGTGCACAAGGTGAACATACTTGCTTTCCATGTTGACTCTCTTTTTATTGACAACCTGTAGACTTACAACAATGAAGCCAAAGAACTTGTAAGTGACAAACATGCCAGAAAAACACACTAATGTGTTATTAGGTTGCGAAAAATACCTGGACCAAGTCCATCATTGAGTAAGGTATCTTGCACAACTAGGGTACCATTTTATATCAATACCCATATTGCATCAACTCACATTGTCAATGCCCTCTCCTGGAATCATTCACATTAAACCTGTTTATTATTCAAGTTATTCACATCACATCACATCAAGATTGCTAATGTTGTGTACTATTCGACTAATTGGACCCCCATCATCTGTTGCATTGTGCACCTGCACCATCTGTATTGAATGCCCCTTCATGTTCATGTGTTGTCTTCCCATTCCCATGTATTGTCAGCCACTTCACATATGTATTGTCTGCTGCACCCTGCATCTCCAGTATCCAAATGTGGTCACATATATTAGTGCCCCCACCCTGTAGAATGTAATACATCATCACATAATGTCATACCTTGTCATTTTTGAGCAGATGGTGCAGTGCCAGTGTGAATATGGCCTGATATCACTAGGTAATATCATGTCACACCAGGTCACATGCAATCATATTGGGCAAGGTTGACAAGGGCATGACTCAATGTGGCCAGATGTGAGCCAGTATATTTGCACCAAAAAGATCATATGGTATCATACAGAGGTAGTACCTGGTCATACTATGTTAGTCTCATCTTGCTAGCAGGCTCTGACTCTGTGTGACCACATATCACTTGCCCAGTTTGGTCACATCCTGTCACCTCACCTCACACCTGGCCATAGCCAGTCTTCACTGGGGTTGAGGTTTCCAGGGTTCTATGTTTTGAAGGATGCTGTAGGTATCCTCAGTAGTGCAACAAGCTACTGATGTATTAGACCAACCTGCAGGTATCTACAGGATATCAGTAAGTATAATACTGGTAGTGAAAGTGAGCTTACCCTCAGTAGTGCAACAAGCTACTGAGGGAACAGTGAATAAACTACTGTAAAATGTGCGCTCTAAGGTGATTATGTAAGCACCCAAACATCGCACCAAAGTGAGCAGAACACAGGGGAGAATATATCTCCAACACTATGCACCCAAGGCTCTGCCCCATGATTAGTATGTTACATGATGGATCTATACCATATTGGGAAATATTTCGGTACTTAAATTTGATTTTGTGGACCCTGGAACTGCCTAATAACTGATTACCTTGCTTGCAAGGTCTCTACCAGGGTCATAATTGCATGGGAACCAACTCACCACTGAAACTCCTTACTTTTCAGGCCTTGCTATGGACTTTAGGGTAGAGTACTCACAATGCCATTAGTACTCATTGGACTAGGACACTAACTTTGCACAATGGATAATGGATGCATAACTGACAGTCTAAGTTACTAGAAGTTGCACCATATTTGTGGCAGTGTCTTCCAAGTCTGACATGCACATGTCACCTTGTTTACAAGGTCACTGCACCCTGAAAATTGAGAGGCTTTTTTTGACATCCATGCAAATGCTTCAACAAGTCCGCATGGCAAATCCCACCAGCCACCCCACAACTGTAGCATGCTCAGGTGTAGTAAACAAGGTGCCTGCTGGCAGCTGCACATGTTTTGTACAATGCAACTTGTCTATTATTTTTGTATAATCAAAAGATGTATGCACATGTACTACTGGGTGCTGACTAAGTGTGCAAATTTGTGCACTACGAAGCAAAAACACAGTAGTCATAAGTCAAAAAGGAAAACAACAAAAATAAAGCACATAAACTACAGCTATTTGAAAGGTCTCATTGAGTGGTACCATATTCTGAAAAAGCGGGAGGTAGGATGGTGAAATGCGCAAGCTATTGTGCACGCACCTGTGAAGTATCAGCTGGGGGAGAGAGAGGGGAGACCCTCGAACGATAACAGCTGAGGGGATCAACACCAAACTACGGCAGATGGTAGGAAACCCATAGACATACATGGATAGACATGAACCACGCTATTTAGACCACCCAATCCAAAGCTATACCCAAAGTTGCCTCACCACCCTCTGAATATGAAAACAGGCATATCTCGACAGTGTCTACACGGAACTGGGTGAAGTCGATTACTTATGTAATGATTTATCTCTGTGCGGACCGGTCTGACTGCCGGTGCAAGGGAGGAGGTTAATTGCCGCAGGGCGAGCATGGTTACGGTGCTTGAGTTGATCTGATTTGTATAAGAGGGTCGAGTTGATGCTGGAAATTTTCCGAGTCGGAAATTACTGGGCTGTGCCCGCTCTGGGACAGCCTCATCGTTGTAGTCTTCTTGAGACAAAGGCTCGACGGAAGACAATCGCTGCCTGTCTCAGTTTCATCGTTGACGTGGAGAATTGAACCTGCTGTGGCCACTATAGCTGGAGTATGCCGAAGGGCTGGTGAGGCAGGCGTCAATATCATTTAATCAATCATTGGAGAAGCCCAAACAAAGAATGTGCTTTTTTGCCAACTGTCATGCCGCCGCGTCTGCGTAATGGAATGCAATCGAATACGCACACGACTTGCTGTTGAACTGGTGTGCACCTCTCAAGGCGCCCAATGCCAATCGGATGCGTCCGTCCAGGTGCCTCGTTCACGGCTCACGCCCCCCTCTGAATCGTAAAGGGCTATACTGCGATGTCGCCATTTTTCCCACTCTTTTGCGCTTCTTGGCCGGGGCCGAAATTTCCTGCGCGCACCGGTGAAACATACTTGAGGACATTGGATCTCCTTACATATGTATGTATATGTAAGTATATGCCAGCAGTTGCTGTGTGTCTAGGCCCCAGGCCCACTGACGAACCGAATTGTAGTCATGGCCTTACGTATGTGAAGCTCCATCGCAGAACATAGTAGCCTATCAACATCCGTCATCATAGCTCTGTAGGACACAGGGCAGAGCAGCCAGCGGAGTCTGGATGGGCGGTATCGATACCACGAACGAAAGCACCTGCTAGGTTCTGGATCTTTCATTTTGCGTGCCTGCGCAGCAACTTTTAGGCTTCATTTTGCAAACATGTTGCGCATTATATATTGGGCACTAGTGCGGTTTTCGAGGCCACCTCCTCTTACCCTCAAGTCCTCTCTGAATCAGTAACAAGTGCCAGGAGAAAAATCTTCCAAAATGCGAGTCGCCTCACTTGTGATCGCAGCGTTTGTGGCCGCGAGCGGTGCTCAGAACATCGGCCCTGGTCCATACAGCGTGGACGCTATTCAAGCGTTGTACGGTGCCTCCGTCGTATCACAGTGCACAACTGGTTGTAGTGTTCTATCGAGCAATACCAACCTGTCGGCAAGCAATGTTACTCACTCGTTGCGTCAATTGTAACAATGCATACATACAGGGCTGTCAAGCATCCCTATGCTGTGAATCGAGCTTCATTCAAAACTACCGTAACTGCCTCGAATGCATAAGTGAGCTTCTCGACGGCTCCAGTACCACCACCAGTACGAAAAGCGCAGTTAACCGTGAGTCTTTCTGTTTCATTGCACCATTGGAGGTTGAACGTTTATGATCCAAATGCCGGATAGAGCTATTGACGTCTTGTATTCAAGTGGGTGCCCTGCCTCCACCCTCCACGACGTCTCAAGACCACACGAACCACACTTCATATGCTATGGCGTCTCAGACGGGGTCCCAGTGTTGGTGACAATCTCACTGTGCTACATTCAACTCCACTGACCATGTCCCAGTCTCCCCAACTAATTCCCCTGCGACTGGCACTGGCGTCGTCTCGGTACCCCCTGCCAGTAGTGTGATCAGCCCCACTAGCCCCTTCTCTGGTTCTCATAGCACTACATCAGTGGGTGCGACGCCCTCGTCCACGAATAGCGCGGTCAGAACCACTGTTGGCCAGGCTTACAGTGGTATCGCGACAGTGCTTGCATGGGCTATTCTCCAAATGATGTGATCAAAACCTGTGATGCCTGCACTGAGTCGGACTGAGCTGACATGCATGCATAATTCAGATGGCACTTCCACCAACCCCGCCCCCTGTTGGATGTTTGCCTGACACCACGTTCTTCTGTGGTATCTCTGCCGTCCGTTGTTCCTTGGGTGATTGTGGTTTCCTTGACGTCCACTTATTAACTAATGGACAACCATACGCACTCAGTATTGTTCCCTGCTATTTAGTCATGAAGTGCGAACTTATACTTACCTGTTGTCAGTCACTAATGACCACAGTTAACTACATCAATGCACCTAGTCACTTCGTCGCATTATTACAAGACACTTAGTGCCCTTCTTTCCCCCTTTGCGGGGCATATGTACGTGGCATTGATACCATCAAGGCGATCCTTGTGAGTAGGCCCACGAAGAGATCGATGACAAGTAAGTGCTACCTCGTGTGTCCGTCATCCAAGTCTCAGTTCATGCGGCTTCGTGGGTGATCCTGCTGAAAGAAGTCGAGGAGGCAGCGAAGTAAACATCACCGTTTCGCACCGCGGATCAATTCGCTTTCCTTTCGCATGACATTATCGAAGACCCAGGATCATCCTTCTTTCCATGTTCTTGACTCTGAATAATCCGGGATCGAAGCATCGATGACACGTTAGTCAGACTGATCGGAAGGTCAACTTAAAGAACCCCACGACTATGGATTCAGGCGCATGTAACAGGAAGCGGAAGGCATCTTCGGGGTAAGAGGTAAATACGAGATTGACGTGTTAGTTTAGAGGCACCTTCCTAGGAAAGATACTTTCTGGTGACGTAGACTGGAAGATGTGAGGGTTTATTTCCTGGTTCCTTTGACGGTTGGATAACGGTGGAGAGATTGGACACAGGGAAGCAAAGATGTTGACCCTGAATGTACGGTTCTCCCGAGCAGGTTGATGGCGAGGAACTTAGCCACCAAAGTCTGTCCAACTTGTAAATAAGATAAAGAAGCCGAGGGGCTTGGAGTCACGAAAGAGCATGGCGAACGCCTCGGAGACGGGAGAGGAAAGTGTAGCTAATTGTGGTACCCGAATCTGGAACAAACAAGGACGCCCATGACCTCTTGAAGGTGAGTCATTGGGATGTCGCAGGTGAGAGAGCTATAGAATGCAGAGGCAGCACTACCAGCTACTGTGATCGTGCGGGGGCTGGTTGTCCGTGGTGTGACACCAACGCTGGTTTGCAGCGGGTGAAAAACGTTCCGTCCGTGTCTCCCTGTGAACGTGCTGCATCCGTCACTTCCTGGCACGCCGCACAACACGGTCGAAGTAGTACTATAATTAGATTTGTCCGCACAAGTGAGGTCGGTGATTTGCTTCGTGCGTGTCGACTTGTGGATGGAGATCCAGGGACATCAGTTACGCCAACTGATGATGGAGCGATGTACGAAGCACGGAGTAAGAGGCATTGAACCAGTGCATCTCATGGGCGACTGCATCCTCGTCTGGAGTCTAGGATTGCGTAGTTGGATCGTGGTGTGCAATGCTTGTCTCTTTGGATCGTTTCACGGACCGTGGAAATGAAAGTTTGAGAACGACATGCTTGTCGACTTCCGGAAAAGCAGGCTGGCGGGACGGGTCTGAGTCTGAAAAACCGGACATAGAACCCTGTCTCTTCCACAAGGGTACTGAGTATGTTTCGGTGACCATTGATGGAATCGACACCCAGTTGCACTCTCGACAGCTACCACTGTTGGCGTCGGCATCGCAACCTACGTCGGGCCAGACAACGTTGAAGACAACAACCAGCAACAACTATTGGACTGGGGGCTCCGCAAAAATGATTGTCATAGGACTTCGGGGTCATTACGTGCACGTGCTGATGCCATATTATACTTGCTAAAATCGAACTTGCTCCTCTAAAGGGTGTTGGGCTCCAACTAATATCTCGCCAGGTGGGTCCACTCGCACAGCGTCAAAGTCCATCTCGTGTTTCATCACACCATCGTGGTGGTGATCCCATGTCTGGAGTGATCTCATGTGGCGTACTATGTTTCGTGTTGATGTCCCGAAGAGCCCGAATACTTCTGTAATGGTTTACCTCTCTGCAGACGGTCTGACGGCCCAGTGCAAGGGAAAGTGTTAATTTCCGTAGGGCGAGCATGCCAATCTGTAAGACGATCGAATTACAGCATACGCCTTGGACAATTTTTTGAAAACTTGGCACGCACCGTTACTTCACTGGGTAAACGCCAAGTGTCAAGTTGGCAAGCCAACCTAACCTGGTTTGTATAAGAACTCGGTTGAGTCGATGCTGGAAATTTTCTAAGTCGGAATTACTGGGCTGTGCCTGCGCTGGGACAGCCTCATCGCTGTACGTAGTCTTCCCGAGACGAAGGCTCGATGGAAGACAATCGTTGACGAGGAGATTTGAACCTGTTGTGGCCACCATAGCCGGAGTATGCCGAAGGGCTGGTGAGGCGGGCGTCAATGTCAAGTTCAATCACTGAAGCAACCCAAATAAGGACTGTGTTTTTTGCCAACTGTCGTGCTGCCGCCTCTGCGTAATGGAGCTCCTGTAGCTGTGTAATGGAACGCAATCCGATACGCACACAACTTGCTGTTGAACGGGTGTATTACCTCTCGAGGCGCCCGGTGTATCGGATACGTCCGCCGACATCTGCAAAAGCGTCGGACTACGTTATGCGCTGGCTGTTTTTCAACTTGGGGTTTACGACAAAACTAAGCCAAGCGGGGACCATCTCGTTCCGTGAATCCAAAAACTGTCTAATGTGGATGCTGTAATTTGGCTGCCTCACTGATCGGCGCTCGCTCACAGCTCCCTCTGGACTGTAAACGGCTATATCACGATGTTGTCACTTCTCCCGTTCTCTTGCGCTTCTTGAGGACACTGGATCCCCTTACATATGTAAGTATATCAGTTGCTGTGTCTCTCGGCCCTACCACGAACCAAAGCACTTGCTAGGTTCTGGATCTTTCGTCTTGCACGCCCGCACGGCAATTTTTAGGCTTCATTTTTGCAAACAGGTTGCGCAATATATATTGGGCACTAGTGCGGTTTTCTAGGCCATCTCCTCTTACCTTCAAGCACTCCTTAAATCAGTTGCAAGTGTCAGGAGAAAATGCGAGTCGTCTCACTTGTGATCGCAGCGTTTGTGGTCGCGAGCGGGGCTCAGAACATCGGCCCTGGTCCATACAGCGTGGACGCCATTCAAGCGTTGTACGGTGCCTCCGTCGCATCACAGTGCGCGACTACTTGTAGTGCTCTAGCAAACAAGGGCGGCCCATCGGCAAGCAATGTTACTCACTCGTCGTGTCAATTCTAACGATGCATATATGCAGGGCTGTCAAGCATCCGTATGTTGTGCATCGAACTTCATTCACAGCTACCGTAACTGCCTCGAATGCATAAGTGAGGTTCTCAACGGCTCCAGTACCACTAGCAGCACGAAAAGCGCAGTTGACCGTGAGTCTTTCTGTTCATTGTGCCATCGGAGTTGGAACGTTAATGATCCAAATGCCTGATAGAGCTATTGATGTCTTGTATTCAAGTGGGTGCCCTGCCTCCACACCCGACGGCGTTTCAAAATCACATGAACCATACCTCATATGCTATGGCATCTCAGACGGGGTCCCAGTGTTGGTGACAAGTTCATTGTGTTACATCCAATTCTTCTGACCATGTCTCAGTCTCCCTAACCAATTCCCCTGCGACTGGGACTGGGGTCGTCACAGTACTCCCTGCCAGCAGTGTGATCATTCCCACTAGCCTCTTCTCTCGTTCCCCTACTATCACTACATCAGTCAATGTGACACCCTTGTCGACGAATGGTGCAGTCAGAACGACTGTTGGCCAGGCTCACAGCGGTATCGCGTCAGTGCTTGCATGGGTTATTCTCCAAACGATGTGATTGATACCTGTGATGCCTGCACTGAGTCGGACATGATACAGGTGACATTTATACGAATCCCTCCTCTCGCCGGATGTTTGCTTTACATTATCACGTTCTTCTATGGTTTCTCTGCCGTTCGTTGTTCCTCGGGTCCTTGTGGTTTCCTTGACGTTCACTTGTTATTTGACGGACAATCATGCACACTCAGTACTGTTCCCCGTCTACTTATTGCTAGCTCTGTGCCTATGATATTCAGTACAAACCTACACTTACCCGTTGTCAGTTACCAATAACCACAGTTAACCACCAATGCACCATTCATTTCGTTGCATTACAAGACACTTCATTCACTTCATTCCCTTTTGCAGGACAGATGTGGCACGGATATCATCAAGGCGGTCCCTGTGAGTAAACTAGCATCACAGCCTTCAAAATATTATTTTTTCTCCAGTGAACTGGGCAAGCTGGTAGCTTGTTGGATGATCGTATATCCATCTGAACGTCCTCGAAACCAGGAGAAGATGCTTGCCATAGAGTCGGACCATGATGAAATCGATGATAGGCAATTGCTACCTCGTGTGTACATCATGCAACCCTCAGTTCATCACGCGGTTTTCGTGGGTGATTTGCCAAAAGAGGTCGAGGAGGCTGCGAAGTGAACCTCACCGTTCGTACCGCGGATCAATTCATTTTCCTTTTGCATGACATCATCGAAGACCCGGGATCGTCCTTCTTTCCATGTTCTTGGATCTGCATAATCTGGGATCGAAGCATCAGTGAGACGCTAATCAGACATGATGGGAAGGTTAACTTAAAGGACCCACGACTTTGGATTCAGAGGTATGCAACAAGAAGTGGAAGGGACCTTCTTCAGCGTAGAAGATAAAGGCGAGATTAGCTTGTTAGGCTAGAGGTACCTTCCCAGGAAAGATACTTTCTCGTGACGGAAACCGCGAGATGTGAAAGGTTATTTGCTGGTTCCTTTGACGGTTGGATAATGGTGGAGAAATTGAACACAGGGAAGCAAAGATGTTGACCGTGGGTGGACGATTCTCGTGAGCAGGTTGATGGCGAGGAACGTACTCGTTGAAGTCTGTCCAAATTGTAGAGAGGATAAAGAAGCCGAGGGGCTTGGAGTCGCGGAAGAGCATGGCGAACGCCTCGGAGACGGAAGAGAGAAAGGTTAATCTTCACCGTTATCAAATTCTTCTGATATCCCATGTGTAGTACCCGAATCTGGGACAAACAAGGACTCCGATGACCTCTTGAAGGTGAGTCATTGGGATGTCACAGGAAAGAGAACCATAGAATGCAGAAGCAGCACTGCCAGCTACAGCGATCGTGCGGGGCTGGCTATTTGCATTGTGACGCCGACGATGGTATGCAGCGGGTGAAAAACGTCCTGTCCATGTGTCTTCTTGCGAACGTGCTGCATCCGTGACTTCCTGGCGCGCCGCACAACATGGTCGGAGTGGTATTGTAATTACACCTGTACGCGCGGGAGAGGTTGGCGATTTGCTTCGTGTGCACCGCCTTGGGGATGGAGGCGTAGGGACGTCAGTTGGGCCAACTGAGATGGAGCGATGGACCAAGCACGGAGTAAGAGGCGTCGGGGATCAGTGCTTCCTGTAAACGACTGTATCCTCATCTAGAGTCAATAATTGCAGGGTTAGACCGAGACGCAAAAACGATCGTCATACGACTTCGGGGTAGCTACATACCGGTGCATGCTACTAAATCGAACTGGAAACTTGTTCGTACTGCCATTAATCCTGCTTGCTCCTCTGAAGTGGCGGAAGGCAAGTGAGGAGTCCCTAGTACACATATCTTGTCAAGTGGGCCAATTCACGCGGCATCAAAGAAAATTTCTTCCATCTCGCGCCTCACCATGCCGCAGTGGTGGTGATCCTGATGATAATATGTCTGGGGTCACCCCATGAGTCACCCATGGCATATCGTGTTGATGACTGTGATTGGGCCGTTGTGATTTGTATAAGAAGAAGGTCGATTCGACGCTGAAAAACTTCCAAGTTGAAATTACTATGGGGTGCCCGTGCTGGAAGCCTCATCGTTGTAGTCTCCCGAAGCAAAGCAAAGACTCGACAGAGAACAGTTTCCTTTTCGATTTCGTCGGACCGCTACAACCGGAGTATGCCGAAGGACCAATGAGTGTGACGGATCGAGGCTGCGGAGATGGGCGTCAATATTCAATCACTGGAGAAGCCCAAATGAAGTTTGTGTTTTTTGCCCGCTGTCATGCCGGTCTGCGTAATGGAACTCTTGTAGCTGTGCAGTAGCAAACAACTTGCTTTCAACTGATGCGCACCTCTTGAAGCGTCCAATGCATTAGATATGTCCCTCAAAATGCCTAGTTCACGGTTCACGGTTCCCCGTATACGGCTATACTACGGTGCCCTACGATGCTTCCATTTCTCTCACTCTTTCGCGCTTCCTAGGCGGGGCCGAAGTCCCCTATACACTGGTGGAACATAGTACTTTGGGACAGATTCCCTTACATATGTATATGTAAGTATTCGCCAACAGTTGCTCTGTCTGGCCCTAGACCCACTTACGAACCGAATTGCACTTCGGGCTTTACGTATGTGAAAATTTATAGCGTTGCAGATCATGACCCATTAACATCCGTCAGCATCGCTCTGTGGAACACAGGATAAAACAGCGAGCGGAGCTCGGATAGACCGTATCGATACCACGAACGAAAGCACCTGCTAACTTTTGGATCCTGCACGCCTGCTTAGCAACCTTCAGGCTTGAGTTTGCAAACACGCTGTGCATTACATATTGGGCCCTAGTGCGGCTTTCTGGACCATCTCCTCTTACTCTCAAGCACTCCCTGAATCAGTAGCAAGTGCCAAGAGAAAATGCAAGTCGTCTCACTTGTGATCACAGCGTTTGTGGCCGTGAGCGGTGCTCAGAACATCGGCCCTGGTCCATACAGCGCGGACGCCATTCAAGCGTTGTACGGTGCGTCCGTCGTATCACAGTGTGCGACTACTTGTAGTGCTCTAGCGAACAATACCAGCCCATCGGCAAGCCACATTATTCGTCATTCGTCGCGTCAATTCTAACCATGCACGCATACAGGGCTGCCAAGCATCTATATGCTGTGAATCGAACTTCATTCAAACCTACCGTGACTGCATCGAATGCATAAGTGAGCTTCTCGACAACTCCAGTACCACTAGCAGCACGAAAAGCGCAGTTGACCGTGGGTCTTTCTGTTCGTTGCACAATTGAAGATTAAACGTTAACAATGCAAACGCCGGATAGAGCTATTAACGCTTTGTGTTCAAGTGGGTGCCTTGCCTCCACCCCCCACGACGTCTCAAGATCACACGAACCACACCTCATATGCTGTGGCATCTCAGACAGGGTCCCAGCGTCGGTGACAATCTCACTGTGTTACATTCAACTCCACTGACCATGTCTCAGTGTCCCCAACTCAGGCCCCTGCGACTGGCACTGCGGTCGTCGCAGTCCCCCCTGCTAGCAGTGTGATCAGCCCCATTAGCCCCTTCTCCGGTTCTCATACTAGCACTACATCAGTGGGTGCGACGCCCTCGTCCACGAATAGTGCGGTCAGAACGACCGTTGGCCAGGCTTACAGTAGTATTGCGTCAGTGCTTGCATGGGCTACTCTCCAAATGATGTGACCTATGATGCCTTCACTGAGTCGGACTCGATTGACACACATGCATGATACAGGTGGCATTTCCACCCACCCCTCGCCCCCGCCGGATGTTTGCCCGACATTATCACTTTGGTTCTTTCTGTGGTTTCTCTGCCGTTCGCTGTTCCTTGGGTGATTGTAGTTTCCTTGACGTTCACTTGTTATCTGATAGACAACCATACGCATTCAATATTGTCCCCTGTCTATTTAGTCGTGTAGTGCAAACTTATACTCATCAGTCACCAATAACAACGGCTAATTGGAACTCACCACGGAGGGGTGAGCACACTCAACAGATCACAACAACAACAGAATGTGGACAGGTGTGTGGATTTGAGCAATCAAGCATATATGCTGATACAAGATGATGGACAGAGAGAGAAGGGGAAGAAAGAGAGATATGACCTGTGGACACAGACAGCACCAGTAAATATACCCTCAGAGTCCAAACAGTGCAACACAGGAGGGATCTGCATGCCTGGATGAAAGTGTGATAGGAGGTGTGATAGTGTGATGTGTTAGCATGAGCAACATTGATAGCATGAGTGGTGTGTTAGTGGTAAGCATATGCTTACACCCTCCCAACCCCTAAGAAAAAGGCAATGGGGGGAGTGGCACACATGTTCAGTATTCTTTGTCAGTGTCTCCACATCAACATCCTTCCTCAACCTCCACACCAACCCTTTCTTGTCCCCAAACCACCAACATCCCCTATGGTGGGTGTTCTCTTTCCCAAACATCCAAAGCCTCACAATCCTCCAGATCTTTCTTTGTCAACCACTCATCATCCTCCAGCCCATACCCCAGCCATTGCACCAAGTATTTCTTCATCCTCCCAGCCTGCTTTTCATCTAATATCTGTTCAATCAAATTTTCCAACTGTCCATTCACCATGACCACAGGGCCCAGGTGAGGCAGTTCACATGAGGGGAATAATGCAATGTTGTTGGGCACAAAGGCATGCAACTGACTGACATGGAATGTGGTGCAAGTGTTGGCTGTGTGGGGCATGTCCAAGATGTAGGTAGACATCTCAGGTGAGGCTGACAGGATGGTATATGGACCATCATACTGTGGCATGAACTTTGCTACATGATTAGTTCCATTAGCAATGTACTTGTGTCTATGATGTTTAGTAGATAACCAAACCTTGTCCCTGACTGAAAACTTTGGGTTGGGGACATGGTGACAATTAGCTGCATGAGCTTGAGCTGCCTTAGCAGCAAGGAGATTGTCATGAGCTTCGAGGACATCCATCTCTAGGCAGGCCAAGAAGGCTGCCCCATCAACTTGGTCTGTTGGAGTCTCAGCATCTGAGGTGGAGATGGGGGTAAGAGTTGAGGGGAATGGCTGAGGTGAAGTTGGAAGGGCAAGAACCCTGTACTGTTATTAATGGTATTCATAATATGGAAACATACTTGAGGCAGGGCCTTGACCCAGCCTTTCTGGTTGCACTCAACATGGAAGCATACACATTGATTAACAGTCTTGTTAGTGCACTCACTGGCCCTGTCTGTCTGTGGATGATATGACAACAACATCTTGAGTTTAATACCTGTCAGCTTATGAAGGGACCTCCAAAAACAAGACACAAAGAGCTTATCACAATCCAAAACAATCTCCAAGGGGAGACCATTCTCACAATACCAATGGTCAAAGAAAAGTGTCACAAACTCAGAGGCCATGATAGAGCTGTGGCAAGGTACCAAATGCATGTCAGCCCCAAGATGGTCTGTCATTGTCACAATCATATTGAACCCATGATCTTCTGGCAAGGGCCAATGAAGTTGATAGCTACCAAGTCCCTGTGAGCATCAGGGACTGGCAAGGGGTGAAGGGGACCAGCAGGTGCTGTGGTTGGAGACTTGTTGCACATGCAATGGGTGCAGGCCAGGATGTATGCAGCAGTGAGATCATGATGCATGTTAGGCCAGTAGAAGGAATTATGTAATGCTGCATAGGTTTTATCAGTGCCAAAGTGGCCCAAGGCATCATGAGCAAGATGGAAGAAATGCTCGTGAAGTGAATGCACATGAGGGATCACTAGATGGCCTGCGAGATACAGCAAACCATCCCATTCCTGGAGACTGGAGAGCAAGTTAAGGAGAGAAAAGAGTTTTTTGCAGAAGGGATCCTCCATGTACCCTTTCAGGATCTCCACCATCAGCAACTTATCCACCTCAACTGTTGACACTGCAGCAACAAGGGGAATGTCATCCAAGTGTCATGATAATGCATCAGCACTGATGTTACACTCACCTTGGACATAGTGGATAGTGAGGTTGAATTGTGACATGTACTCCTGCCAGTGAGCTTGATGTTGGGAGAGATCATGTTGTGTGGTGAAGTTCTGAAGAGGGCAGTGATCTGTATACACTACCACTGGGGCACTGAGTAACTCAATCTGCCACTTCTTCAAGGCATGAATGATGGCTAGCAGTTCCTTCTTGTGCACTGGGTAGTTGGGTTTAGCACCACATAGAGGAGTGGAGTTGAAGGCAACCAGTCTAGCAGTCTCCCAAGTAGGGTCCCCAGGAGAGAATCACACCAGTATGAAAGTCCAACATGTCACATGTAAGGAAAATATGGTTGTCACCTGGGTTGTCATGGTCAATAGTCATCAGGCAGTGAGGACTGACTACAAGGTCCTTGATGGCCTGGAAGGCCTGCTGATGTTCATCAGTCCAGGTAGGAAACTTGAGTTCCACAGTCTTTGTCATCAACACATTCAGGACACGTGTGTATTCTGAAAGATTGGGGAGGTGATCAGCAACATAATGAACCAGACCAAGGAAACCACACATGTCTGTAACTGATTGAGGGACTGGCCAGTCAAGAATCCTGGTGATCTTGGAGGAATCTGGCTTGATCCCTTGAGCTGAGATGCAGTGGCCCAGGAAGAGTATGTCAGTACAAAACAGCTGAGTCTTCTTGAGGGAGCAAAACAGTGAACATTGCATTCATGTTCCTTGAGCATTTGCAACCAGATGATAATGTTGTCAAGGTAGATGTGACAAATATGACTGATTAGGTGACAGAGAGCAGTGGACATATGATGTTGGTGAACTGCAGGGGCATTGTGCACCCCCATGGGCATAACTGTCCACTCATAAAGGCCCCAAGGGGTGTGCACAGCCAACCACTTGATGTTGTCTGGGTGAACTTTGGTCTGAAAGGATGTGTTGGTCATGTCCAGCGACCCCATGTAGTCCATTTAGTCACAACATATAGGTAGCCTGTGTGCCAAAATGCCAACACTTATATAGACCCTGTGATGGGCCCATCTAAATAGATTAGCCATGACACATGGACAGGCCTGAGGGCCTATAGTGAGAGCAACATATGTATGGGCCTGTAAATGCAATTCCACAACATATGGGAGGGCCTGTTGAGGGTAAGGATGCTGCAACATATAGATGGGCCCATGACCAAGTAAGTATGCTAAGCTACTGTAAGACATGGATGGGCCTGCCTATTGTATCATGAAGAAGGTTGCAACATATGGATGGGCCCACCCATCATATGCTTTATAGGGTCACAACATAAAGAGGGGCCCATCTATGATAGATTACAGAGTTGGCAACATATGGAAGGGCCCATCTTTGGGATAATATACCCCTGTCACAACATAAGGATGGGCCCATCAGTAATATCATTGACAGTGTCACAACACATAGACAGGCCCATCTAGTAAGATGCATCCCTGCTGCAACATAAAGATGGGCCTGTCAGTAATGTCATTTATAGCATCACAACATATGGACAGGCCCTTCTGTAATACCATTTATACCATCACAACACATGGGTGGGCCTGTCCATAGTAAGATGTACCTGTTGCAACATAAAGACAGGCCCTTCAATATATATCATTTACAGGGTCACAACACATGGACGGGCCCATCTAGTAAGATGCACCCATGTCACAACATAAAGACAGGCCAGTCAGTATTATCAATTGCATTGTCACAACAGATGGATGGGCCTGTCTAGTAAGATACACCCCTGTTGCAACATGAGATGGGCCTGTCAGTAATATCAATTACATGGTCACAACACATGGATGGGCCCATCAATAGCAACATGTATGCCTGTTGCAACATAAAGACAGGCCCATCAGTAATATCATTTACAGTGTCACAACACATAGACAGGCCTGTCTAGTAAGATGTGCCCCTGTCACAACATAAAGACAGGCCCATCAGTAATATCATTTATAGCATCACAACATATGGAAGGGCCCATCTAGTAAGATATGCCCCTGTTGCAACATGAGACAGGCCCATCAGTAATATCAATTACACAATCACAATACATGGATGGGCCTGTCAATAGCAACATGTATGCCTGTTGCAACATAAAGACAGGCCCATCAGTAATATCATTTACAGCATCACAGCACATAGATGGGCCTGTCTAGTAAGATGCACCCCTGTCACAACATAAAGATGGGCCCATCAGTAATATATTTATAGCATCACAACATATGGAAGGGCCCTTCAGCAGTATTTCAGGCCCTTCAGCAGTATTATTTATATGGTCATAATGTATGGATGGGCCCTTCAGTAATATCATTTATATTGCCATAAAACAAGGACAGGTCCATCTAGTAAGATCCACCCCTGTTGCAACATAAGATGGGCCCAACACCAATAGCACATATAGTGTCACAACATATTGATTGGATCACAGCAAAATATTGAGGCAAGCATCCCAACATGCTGTAATTTTCCAACAAGTTGCAAGTGGCTTGCCCACTATACAACTCCAACCTCATCCACCCCAAGCATGGATACTACACAAGACATGTCTAAAACCCCCCATGGATGGTGAATGGAACTAACAGACTGCATTGCATCATACATGAAAGCCAGATTTCAAGAGGAGGTATTCAGTGGACCTTGTGCCCTTCCAGATATATCAATTCCATTTCCAGTGTTATGTGAAGCAGATCACATATCATCAGTAATCTCACAGGCCTATCATCACCCAAGGAAGTCCATCATAATGGTGTGATGGAAGTTTTAATCTTTCCTGCAGTCAATGTCAGGAAAAATCAGGGTGGAAAAACCTGCAATGCAGAAGCTGCTGAGAGATACACAGAAGTGACTGAGCTGTCCATTCTGGTGACTGACTCAAACACCATCCACATTTGGTATTTGCCAGATGCTCTCAGCCCAAAAAGAAGGGTAAGGGAATGCAGAATCTCATATTCTACTGACTTAATGCAATGGCAGGCTGACATATGGAACTGCCTTCATCTTCTGAGGGAACCACTGTGGGAGAGCATAAAGGCTTCCCCACAGGCATGGTGGATGGACAAGTCATATTTCCATGATAATGCTGAGTTGAAAGGTGCCATCAACCTGTCACCTGCATGGTTTCAACAGGGTCATGGGGTGGGTGATCATTTCTTTCCTTGTGAATAAAGTGCTTCATCTGTCTTGAAGCCCCAAAATGGCTTCCTGGAAGCCTCACATGGCTGCTCAAATCCAGGATGGAAAACACTTCTACAAGGGAATGGGTCGACCAAATGTCTGACACCAATGCCCTGTTATCTGCAATCCTGCATGTCATCCATCCATGAATGTATGCAGATGGCAGGGAAGCATTGATCTGCCTTGGCAAACAGGCAGAACAGTGGGCAGATTCGGATATGAGCTCCATACTGCTGATATGGAGCTCCACATATAGCAGCATGTCCGTGATGGTGAATCAGGCAACTTGTTACCACAGGGATATCAATGGACAGGATCCATGGTATGACATGCTGGTAACCATGGGCAACTACCCACCCTTGGACTTTGTCATTCCAATGTTGAATCTGCAGCTGCACTACAACCCAGTGATGATCATTGCATCTTCAGGTTCAGCATTGGAGCATGGGGTGGGAGCTGTAGACAGTGACAGAGCATGCCTGGCATGCTGCATGCATGCCAATGTACATCAGTCAGTGCATGTTCCCATGTGTCAATCACTGCAGATGGATGACCTACTACCTAACCAGTTGCAACTGGAGAACTGTTGATTTGAAGCTGCAAAATTTAATGTAAGGTTTAGTAGGTGATGCAGATCTCATATTTTATTAGGATATGCTGACTCTTGAACTTTGGACAGGTGGTGTTGCCAAGATTTTGCAAATGGGCAGGTGCTTTGAAATCATAGATTGGGCATGCATTCAGAGCTAAAGAGTGTGCATCATAAACTGCAAAAAAAATAAACCTACTCAGACCATCATGCAGATGGGCAGATTGTTGGACATTGCATGGATGGGCAGGGGTTCAGACATCATGCAAATGGGCAGCATCTCATAAATGATTGACATTCACAGCAATGTATATTCAACCAACTCCACAGTCAAAAGCATGTAAACTATTGAAGTGGCATGCCCAACAACCTGCACAATGCCCACCACCTAGCATAGAAATGGTCAATTTGTCAACCCCAACTGTTGACAACATTGGCATATTCATATTTCCAAATATTTTCGATGCAGTAGTTTACCTGCTCCTCGATATGGCCATCAAGACAGTCTGTGATTGGTGCCTCAGGAAATGGCCATAAGCCCTGGGCCATCATCAGCTATTTTCAGCAACAAGAATAAGTGGCATACCTTAAAAAAATCCCAGGCTGTGGAAAACAATCCCTTGCCTTGCAATCTTTGGGAATCTGCTGCATATTCCTCAGAATGATATAGCCACCAAGGGAATGCAAAGCCAGAATTGGGATCAGCTGCATGTGGGGTCCAATGCAGGATGATGGCACTGATATTGTCAATTATGCTAAATGTGCTAAGGGGAATTAGCTGCATTTGATCATGGAAGCTAACCTCATTGTCTTGGTGTCTGAGGTATGCATGGTAGCATGCTGGGAGGGGAGGATACAACTGGCATGCAACACTGTCACCAGAATCAAGCTATTAAGCTGATTCTGAAGGAATTATGTATCAGTCCCACATTGTGAAAAATTGATGTAAAACCTACCAAGTCCATTGCTAGGTTTTCAAACCAATGTGTGGGCCATCCCGTGATATCAGCAGTCTGCTTCAGATGCACAGAGGCCACCTCGATCTGGCACACCAAGTAGAGGATACCCATCTCTACCACAGACTGGCAAGATGGGTGTGATTGGCTGGTGATGAATGGCTTGGGACAATTTTCAAAGGCAGAATGCAGATAGTGAATGACTTCCATCAAATCAAGCATATTGACAAGTTGAAGGCCCTGAGAGGCTGCACCATACTGGTCCCTTGCAGCTGTGCCCAATTCTCTCACAATGGCATTTGCAGCCCACACAAGGTGCCTATCAAGGGTGGGATCAAACGGCATGTTGCTGGGAGTGGTGTTTCCATGATATTGAGATACCGCAGCATGTAAGGTGCACAGGACTAAAATTATCAATGTCAAAGGTGTATCAGATTAAGCTCATGCCCATACCTTGATCACAACATGGAACAGGTGCCAATCCCCATTGTTCCATTTGAAGAGATTGCTGTGTGGATGGAAGTTCACCTACATAATTGATGGATATCACTGATCACATGAATAGAACCAAATAAATGCTCACTGTTGCATATTTCCTCAAAAAGATCCCTCATCTCTGATCGTTTGGGCATGCCAAAAGTCAAATGGTTTGTGCCATTGTCCTCGTCCACTGCCAAGTCAAAAGATTTGATGGTCACATTTGAAACTGAGTGGGGGAGGCATTGGTTCCCTCATATCCTGCAATTGAGCAAGCAGGTTAGTCAGAGAATCAGGTCAAGGAGATCGGTCCCTCAGATTTGATGATTCACAGGTGATGGGCAGAGGAGATGGTTCCCACACATTCTGCAAGTCTGCCAGAAAATTGACCTGCATAGTAATGTCTTGTGCAGGTGTTGAAGACCTGTCCATCCTGTTTAATTTCTCATGCATGACTGGCAGTGCCGATGGTTCCTGCACATTCAGCAATTGCTTGAGTAGATCCACATTCATACCATCTGCTGGGGGAGCAGTTGGTTCCTGTTCATTCAGGAACTGATTCATCAAGTTGTTGTGTGGATCTATTACTAGAAAATTAGTTTGTTTGTTAGCTTGAAGGGCAATTGTGCCAACTCACTGGCCATGATTCTGCCCTCTGCCAGAGCAGTTGGCTCCCTTTCCTGCAGGAACTGATCCACCAAGCTTTTGCATGAATCTATAGTGAAAGAATGTTTGTTGTTTAGCTTGGAGAGAAATCATGTTCACTCACTGGCCATGATATCCATGTTTGACCCCACCATATCTGCCCTTCCACTTGAGAAAATTGGTGGAGGGGTTGGCTCTTGCAACTCACTGCAGTTGTACTAGCATCTCCTCCAGATTTTTAGACTGCTTCACATGGGAGCTAGATTGTCTTGGCTCAATTGGTCTTGCATTAGCTGAGGATGGCTTAGGTCACTGGATCCAACAATGAAGACAACCTCACCTTGACAATGGAAATGAATTTGGCAGGACTGTTTGGCAGACATATTCGATGATGATGGGTTCACTGATAAGTTGATGATCAATCAAGATTTAAACTTGTAGGAACAATGGCAAGAATATCATTCACACCATGGGAAGCAAGGTTGGACAATGGCAGACAGAGCCAAATTTTGGGTAACAGCAATACATGGGAGATGAGCAGCAATATCTCCCTACATAGATAGCTACCAGTCACTTCCACATGGCCAATATGTAGACCTGTCCCACTCAGCTCTCTGCTCAATTGTTGTGCTCAACTGTCCTGCTTAACTATCCCTCTCTCTGATATCAAAGACACCTCTCACAACCACCATGGTGTCATGAGCTACTGTACATGCCATACACTTGTATTCTAATGTGTCACACTAGGCTAAGCCCTCTATAGACCATACACGAGTTCCAAAAAAGGTTTCTGCTCTGACTGTTTGAGGGATTTGACAGCTACTTCTGCTTCTGATTGCTGCCTGTTTGCTTGCATGATCTCTTTGCATCAAGAGATGGAACATCTGCATCTGGCCTTGCAGGGGCCTTTCTGACACAAGGTGACTTTCAGGTGCTCCCAGGGATGCCCTGTTTCACATTTGTGGATGCTGCATTGGTGGTCACAGATCCATTATGGTTGGACTTGGACAAGTATTTGGCCCCAGGTTGATGTCGATTCATGTCTGGCTCACTCAATTCTGACAGAGCCTGCTTAATATACAGTGCAAACTTGTTAGCCATAACAGCTGATTCAACATGACCAAACTTGCCTGGTGTGTGCGCTTCAGGGTGGATTTCAGCTTTCCACCTTTTTTTCTGCTTGTTGACCCCTCCTCAGTTGGGTGGTCAGTGAAAGGAATGCTCTCCAATCCATCTTCATCTTCTGAGTGGTCCTGTAGTTCAGTTGTGTACTTGTTCCCTGAGTGCAGATCAGGGTTTGCTGTGAATACAAGTTACAGTGGGAAGCTCACTATTCAGGGATGTTGCTGTTTTCTTTGAATTGGATAGGGTGGGCAAATAAGTGTCTTCATCAGCTTCATCATCAGAATCATGGCTGTTTCTTTCCTGCCCATTATAGTCAGTTAGCACTTTATTTTGCAGACAATGCACCAGGGTCTTTGCATGGGCTGGAGGTGCAGAGAGCTGCTCACTATGGGAACCATCAGCTGGTGGGGGATTTGAGCAGGAACAAGAAGGGAATAGTGTCTTGGCATGGTTTTGCCTCCCACCAGATACCTGAAGACCAGAATTGCATTAGCACTGATCTGTTGTGCATGAAAATCACACATGGTGCACCTTTTTAGCAGAGGGACCATCTGTTCCAACATTGCTCACCTCAGCCTTGCTGTGATCATCCAAACTGTCATCCATGCTGTCATCCATGCTATCATCTGTGCTATCATCCACCACTCCCTCTTCCTGTGCTTTACCCTTGCCCTTGACAATTTTCCTTCTGGGATTCTTTTTGCAGGGGGCAGGTGTCTTTTGGTATTTCTGCTGCCTCACAACCTGGAGGGGTGCCAAAGTTCTATCCACCAGTGGCTGCAGCTTGCCAGATTGATTGATCCATTTCTGAAATCCAAACACATCATTTGGATGGGATTCCTGTTGCTTGTGCCAAAAGGACAGCAGCTGGGTAGCTGTTGTCATCCACATGTGACTTGGGTCATGGTTGAAGGTAAATCCTTCAAGAAGATGGTGGGCTGCTATCATTTCTGCTTGATGATGACCAAAATTCTTGAATGGCACTGCTGATGAGGGATTTCCACATGCCAATCCTGATAGCACTCATCAGAGATTGAGGACACTAAATACTCTGGCCACTCATGGTAGTGAGCAGTCACAAATCTGCAAACCATTTTTTGTAGTTGGTCCCAGCTAAGGCCCATGATTTCTCCTATCCAAATCTCTCCATTGGCATTTTTCACCAATTTCACAGAGTCAACCTTGCCGGTCCTCGTTGCTTTGGCCACTGTCTTTTTCTGAGCACATTCAGGACTTGACTTGCCATCATGCTCAGGCAGTGTTCCTGGTTCCTCAAATGTTTCCCCAAGGTACTCTTGCCAGCTTCCTTCCAGTGTGTGGACATCATTGAAGGGGATTCCATCCATGATTTCATTATTGAAGTCCATACTGTCATTGCATGAGTCTTACCTAGGCCTAGAGGAGAATATGGTGGACTCATGTGCATGCCTGTATAGTTCCCTCCTCATTTTTCCACCCAGCCATACACACTATGTGCATTCTGCAATACCTCCACATCTCCATCACAAAGTTTTGGACATACTTGTACCCATACTTGGCTGCATTCCTGGGAACCAGGATAAATTGAAGACTGGGAAGTTGACCTCATACAATCACACCTTGCTTTTGTCTCTGGCATGGGGCCTTCCTTGCCCATTCCACCTTCTGCTATATCTTCAGCTGCAGCCAATTGTTCCTCTGTCAGGTTGTCCTGAATAAAAGCTGCCAATGCATTCTGATACTGTTGGATCTGCTTGCTTCCATGGGTATCACCTTCTTCTACTTTCATTTTTGCAAGCTTCTCCTGTATTTGCTCTTGGTACAATTCACAGACCACTGCCTGCACAGAGTATTTGTAACTGGATCTAAGGGTAATGTGGGGCTTCTTTGACTGGAGGGGCTTTTTCAACCAATCTTGTATTAGCTACAAGGGTGCTTTGAATTGTGA